CTGTATTGTTGGTCTCTTAATTCCTTTTTGTGTTGCTAATTACTTGTTAATTAGTGGGATTTGAACATACTCAAATATATCAATATGTTCCAAATTATTAGTTTTGTTAGTGATAGTGACAAAAAAAACTCGTTTTTTAAAAATTGTCAATTACTTCCTTTTGTCATGGTGGGACAGTAATTGTACAGAGTACCGTAATAGATTCCAGAATTTATGTAATTTTATGGTAATAATTTACATTGTGTAAATAAAAATGAAAGCAAGAGCTAGAAATTTAACTGTTCTCTGATCATTAGTAGAGGCTAAATATGTTTTAACCTTAAACAAACTCTAATAAAAGGACTTTTTGTATATTTTTGTACGTCTATACGTAAATAATTATGGAAAAATTTTTTCCGCCTTTTTATAGTTGCGTTGACCTGATATTCAGGGTCAAGGGTCAATGACCTTTATATAACATGTTCTGGGTCATAAGTCTTTAACCACTTGCTCTAAAAGCACAAAAGTAGTATTTACACCTGGGTTTTAGGGGTAAACAATTATGGAAACATTTTTGCCTTTTAGCGTTGACCAAATATTCAGGGTCAAAGGTCAATGACCTTTCTACAACTATGATTGTCATAACTCCTCAACCAGTTCGCCTAGATGCACAAAAATAGTGGCTACACCTTGGTTTTTGGGATCAACATTTATTGAAACATTTTTGGCACCTTCTAGTAGCTCCGTTGACCAAATATTCAGGGTCAGAGGTCAATGACCTTTATACAACATATGATGATCCTAACTCCTCAACCACTTGGTCTAAAAGCACAAAAAATAGTGTGTGAAAGAATAAAGGAAGAAGGAAGAATAGGATAGAGATTTGGAACATCTGAAATATTTTCAAAAAATATACAATATTAGTCAATATTCGACATCGAATAGGTCCGATTGATGTCGAATTTGTTTACACTATACACACATACTTTAAAGACAGTTTAAAGTCTGGTACGCGTTCGAACCGCGGCTCTGGTGTGAGGAGGGTCATCAAAGCCAGCGGGAGTATGCCCAACAATTGGTCTACATTCCTGAGATGTGATGACAACAAATCAGAGTGTTTCCATTAATTG